TCTATGGCAAGTTCCTGGGGCTCCGGGCCTACATCCGCAAACAGTGCAGCCACATCTTCCTCCGGTGGGTGCCTGCTGCCTGCCCAGCTGAGACCTGGGGAGGGAGGGGAGAGCTACAGGGGAGAAGAGGGAGGCAGAGTCTCCCGTGAGGTCAGCAGGGAAAGGGTATTTATTTCCATTTTACAGATGAGGAAAATATAGACTGAGGGAGATGAATTGGTTTGCAGGGACTAGGTCAGTCCTGGGAGCCTAGGATCAAATCTTCTGATCTTTATTGTGGCCAAGCCATAAAGACCCAAGTAAAGAGATTGTTTTTGCAAACGTGGATTGAGCAACAGTGCCCAGTGGGGATAGGGGCCCACATGGCCTTGTAGTTGAGATTGGCTTTGGAGCTCAGTGGCCTTTCTGAGTTTGGTTCAAATGTTTAGGTGAACGTGGGCACATTAAGTTCTCTCATCTCTAAAATGGGAATGATAGCTCTACTGACCCAGGGATGGTCATCAGGGCAAAATGAGACAATGTCTCCAAAGCACACAGGATGTAGCTCTTTGGCCAAGGCTGGGAATCTGAAACATTAGCTCTTACGGTATTGGCTACAAAATAGCCGAGACCCCGTGCCTGTCTTCCAGGCGCTCCGGTCCGTCAGATCCCCGGCTTATTAACTTTGGGGCAGGAGTTGTTGAACTGCTGAGCCTCGATTTCTTCATCTATATAATGGATCTAATAAACCCTATCTCGCAGGATAATTTTGAGAAGTATGTAGCACAGAGTAGACACTCTTTCAGTGTTTGCCATTCTTTCGGTTGAAAGGCATGAAAGCGAAGGATGCAAGCTAGGGGCCTGCTGACTGGTTGGGGTCCCGAAAATGAGAGTTAGGGTCTGGGGGAGAAAGAGACAAGTTGGAATGCCTCGTAGAAGAGAGGTTTGAGCACCAGTGCCTGGGCTGAGGAGGGTGATTCAGAGGTGGGTGAGGATTTCAGCGGGGCCTGGTTTGGGAAGGGAGCACAGCCTCTGGGGTGGGAGACAGATTAGTGTGCAGGGTGGGGGCGGCAGGCACGATGGCTGAGGGGGGCGCTGGGCCGATTCTAATTGCTCTGAACCCTTCCGCAACTTCCCCTTCTTCTCACAGGTTCATCTATGAACTCGAGCACTTCAATGGTGTGGCCGAGCTGCTGGAGATCTTAGGAAGGTGACTCTCTGGGCCTCGGCTGGAGCTTTAGGATTCTGAGAGGAAAGACAGAGGCCAGGTCATCTGAGCCCTCCTCCTCTCTTCTTCCCCCTCCACAGCATCATCAATGGCTTTGCGCTGCCCTTGAAGACCGAGCACAAGCAGTTCCTGGTCCGGGTCCTGATTCCCCTACACTCTGTCAAGTCACTCTCCGTGTTTCACGCCCAGGTAAGGCCCAGACCTGGCCCTGCCTGGAGAGATCCTGGCAGAGTCAGGGCAGCCATGGGGTCAGCCCGACACTCTGCTCCGCCCACACTAAGTCATGAACTCCTGGGACCTTCCCTCACCTTTTCCTTTGCCAGTTCTGTTCCGTCTACCATAGAGAATTTCCACGACACTTTAAAGCTGATGTCAGATATCAGCTTTGTGAAGCCTTCCCAGTCCTTTCCCTCCCGACCTGCTCTAGGCATGATTAAATTCTTCTCTTTCCATATTCCCATAGATTATGATGTAGATTTCAATTATAAGGGCTATTTTGGTGCCTCTTCCCTCTGGAAGGACATGGTTGTGTCCCCGCACACAGAGCATGGTGCTTGGCCCAATCTAGGTAGTCAGTCGGTAAACGCTTGGTGAATGAGAGAGGAGACTGACTAGGTAAGGGAGCAAACATCTGGCGTCCGGTCATAGTCCCTTCCTGACCCCAGTCTTCTTTCTCCCCCCAATCCCCACGCCCCTCAGCTGGCATACTGTGTGGTGCAGTTCCTGGAGAAGGACGCCACCTTGACAGAGCACGTGAGTACCTCTGGGGGGAAAGGCAGGCCACACCCCTGCAGGTCTGACTCTTCTGCCTCAACTCCCACAGGTGATCCGGGGGCTGCTCAAATACTGGCCAAAGACCTGTACGCAGAAAGAGGTATGAGGAAGGGCTCTGATGCCCCCCAGAGGGGGGTTGGGGGGCCCCGGTTCTGGAGGGTGGTCACATGTGGGTGGGGGGAGATGGGAACTGCGATTTCCTGTGTCCCGAACCCCAGGTGATGTTTTTGGGGGAGATGGAAGAGATTCTTGATGTCATTGAGCCCTCCCAGTTTGTGAAGATCCAGGAGCCCCTCTTCAAGCAGGTGGCCCGCTGTGTGTCCAGCCCCCATTTCCAGGTATGGGGTGGGAACAGGTAGGGGTGGGATCCGGGGCATGGACTAGGAGGGCTGGCCAGTTGACCTAACACAGCTCCCTCCAACCTCAGTTTCTCCTCTGGACCCACCAGGGTCTGATAACAGGGAGATAACTGGACTTCAGGCCGGAAGACCTAGGGTCAGGCCTCAGCCCTTTAACCCCACGGACTAAAGGTCCCAGGCCATCATTTGCCACTCGAATCTGATAACACTTCTCATCTGTGGAGTGGACCACAGTAGTCTCTTCACAAGGTAGTGATGAGGACTAAGGAGAGTGTAGTGCCAACCTATCTGGTAAACTCAAGTGTGCTCCAAAATGGCTTGTTATCCCTGCTCCCCTCTTGGTGGCTTTTGATGTCATGAGTCCCACTCCAGCGCCCAGCCAGGCAGTCCCACTTCCTCAGGCTGGTTGGAATTGCTATTTTCCTGCACGTGTGTGCAGACTTTCACCCATTCGTCTGTGCCTTAACCTAGTGAAAGTCAAGTCTTCCTCACAGGGAGTCTGGCATTGAAGTTTATTAAAGACCTCGTTTGATTCTTACAACAGCCCTGGGGACAGAGCTATTAATAGCCCCATTTTACAGCTGAAAAGACTGAAGCTAAGAGGTTAAAGGCCTCACCCTAGGTCATCTGTCCAGTGTGTAGCAGAACTAGGATTTAACCCTGAGCGGTGGACTCCAAATCCAGTGCTCTTTTGTCTTCACTATATTGTCTTCTCCAGTGGGTCAGATGAGCCCTTGGGTGTGTGGAGGGTGGGGCACCCTGGGTTTGGTGGGTAGAGGTAGATACCAGGCCTTGCACCTGCAGGGAAGCCACTGCCAGGCGCCCACTCTGCCACCTTGCTGTCCCAGGTTGCAGAGCGGGCTCTGTACTTCTGGAACAATGAGTATATCCTGAGCCTCATTGAGGACAACTGCCACACTGTGCTGCCTGCTGTGTTTGGGACCCTCTACCAAGTCTCTAAGGAACACTGGAATCAGTGAGTGCCTAGGCCTTGACCTAACCCACAGAAGCTGGGTCCAGGGCTGGCCGGTCCAGACCCGTGAGGGTCGGGGCTGGGGAAAGGGGCAGGCTGAGAGCAGAGCTGTTCAGAGCCGCGTGTGTGTTTGGGGAACAGGTAGGCAGAGTGCTAGGGAGGGAGATGGTGCCAAACTGAGCTGTCCCCATTTCCTCACCCCTCCCCGGACCCTGCCAAGAACCATCGTGTCTCTGATCTACAATGTGCTCAAGACGTTCATGGAGATGAACGGAAAGCTGTTTGATGAGCTCACAGCCTCCTACAAGCTAGAAAAGCAGCAGTGAGTGTTCGGCTGCGCATGGGGGGAGAGGGAAAAAGCGGGATGGAGCCGGCTCCTGTGGTCGGAAGGAGCCTAGGAGGACAGACGGCCCCACATCCTGTGTGATCAGTGTTTAGTCTCTGTGTTCCTGCTGGGCCGTCCACGCCCAGCTCCCCAGTGCAGCCTCCAGTCGTGTTCCCAAGTCATCTCCCAGGTCTGGAGCTTCCTCCCCTTCAGCTCCATGACCACAGGCTGGGGCCTGTTTCCCAGCACTCTCTTCCCTAAGTGGAAGGTCCCGTAAAGTCCCATCATAGTTGGGTGGTGGTGAGGGAGGCTGGACGGTGGGTGGGCTCGGGTAGGGGAGCTGCCTCACCCTCTCTCCTCAGGGAGCAGCAGAAGGCCCGGGAGCGTCAGGAGCTATGGCAAGGCCTGGAGGAGCTACGGCTACGCCGGTTACAGGGGACCCAAGGGGCCAAAGAGGCACCCCTCCAACGGCTTACACCCCAGGTGGCCACCAGCGGGGGTCAGAGCTAGAGATCCCCTAGAAGGGGAGGAGCTAAATCCAGAGCTATCAGTCCCTCCATCCCCTCTCCTACCCAGGGGCCTAGAGAGACGCGCACCTACCCCTGGCCTTGCCAGAGTGGGCTCGGAGGGCTCCCTGCCTGGCCCAGCGTGGGCAGCTTCCACTGTGGGGGAGGAGGAGAGGAGATGGTGGTCCTGGCAACAGAACTCTCAGGCCTTTGTGGCAGGACTTGACCAGGGCAGGCTTGGCCAGGAGGCTGCCGCTGGGGACTGTACCTGCCCCGCAAAGCTGGGCTTCAGACTGCAGGCAGGTTCTCCCCCTGCTCCTGCCTAGAGCAAGGGGACTCAGCCCCTCGCCTGCCCCGCCTCGTGCCAGCACGAGGTCCTTCCTCACCCTACCATGGGATCCATGGTTTATTTATTCTCCCCAGCTCACCCCCGACACCTGCCCCTGGGGCATCCTCTTCCCTCCTCTCCCTCACCTGTACTTCCTGGTCCCCTTTTTATTTATTGGGCAGGGGGAGGGGTGAGGGCATAGGCAGAAGAGATTCCCCGTGTCCTAGGGTGGGGGGTGGTGTCACAGTTAACCATGGTCTGTCCCCCTTCCCCTGGCTGGGGGTAGACTTAATAAAGAGAGAAACTTGAGAACTGCTTGCTTTATTTAGGGGTAGGGAAAAGAGCGGAGTGAAATGATGACAGACTGGTTAGGAGGCCAGGCCGAGGCAGGGGAGAGGCCGAAATTGCCCTCTTCTCTCGAGGTGACAATCACAGAATCTTAAGAGAGCTGGCTGGACCTGTTGTCCTCAAGGAGGCTCAGGATATAGAGGATATACTCCAGCTCAGACCCTCTGACCAAGGCGAAGGAAGAAGGGAGAGAACGGGCTAGTAGCGCGAGAGGCGACACATGTCACACTGGCAGGTCCTGGCCGTGAAGATCTCCAGCTCCTCCCTCCGGTCCCCCCCACACTGCAGCTGCACCTTCACCTGTGGGGGAGGGGGACCCGTGTTCCACTCATGTGGCCATCCATTCCATCCATTCTTGGGCCATCTTGATCCCCGTCTCCTCTGTCTCTCCCCGCCCCCAAAGAGCCACTACTGGGCTGGGCTCTCTCACCTTCCTCAGGCCACTGATGGTACAGCACTGAGAGACGGAGGTCACGTTATGTCGATAGCCACTGGCCACCAGCACGGAGTACCGGGAAGGGAAGGCGCTAGACTCACAGTGGCCCACACAGGCCTGTGCCACATGGGAGCCCTGGCAGGTGCCTTGGCGGTCACTTCGTACTGTCACATTGAAGGCTAGAAGGAGACAGGCGAGTGGCAGACAGTGCCTCTGCGAAGCCTCGCCTAGCTCCTGTCGCCGGAACCTCAGGGTGGGTCCATGGAGGGTGCTGCCCGCACTTCCGTCCCATGCATTAGCTCTCTGCTCCCACCCAGCTGTCTGTTCCCAGGGTTACTCACGGTGCAGGTGGCAGCCTGGGATGGGTGCCTGGCGACCCCAACCTTCCATCACTGCCAGGACCAGCAGGCAGAGGAGCAGCGTTTGGGGGGATGCCATGGGGATCTGAAAGAGCGGTCTCTGGACAAGTGTGCAGGTGGGAGGGCCAGTCCTTTACTGTGTGCCTGCAGGTGAAGGAGCCAGAGTTAGGCTGGTTTTCCTGACTGGGGTGAGGCGAGCCCGGGAGTGGGGCTGTCTTTTCCTCTATCTGCCTTTGGGTGCATGGGCGAGAGTGTGAGCAGCTGTCAGCCCACTGTAGTGGTTCTCCCTCGGAATCTCTTCTACCATCTGGAGCACAGACATTGGCCTCCCCTCCATCTGCCCCATCTGCAGGCCCCAGGCCCCCCCGGGGCTCCTGCTGCCTCAGGGGGCTTACCACTTCCGAGGCCCAGGCACTGAGTGGCTCTCCGAATGGGTTCCTCAGGTCTACCGCCCGTCTCCGGATGGCTCGGCTCTCTGGATCTTTATTTGCCGGCGTCTGGAGCCACGCCCTCTTGGGGATCAGCTTACAGGCCTGCCTCCCCGGCAGAGGCCTCAGAGCAACCCCACCTGGGAGATGCAGCTCTTCTCCGAGGTGTGGTCCTTAGAGAGTGGCTGCTGCGGCTTTCCTCGGCCTGAGGTCCAGGGCTGGGGGAAGTGAGATGTGGAGAAAAGCCCGGGAGCTGGTGGAGTGGACAGCTTATGTGCAGTTGGGGAGAGAGGGATCAAGCCTGGGCTGAGTTGTGGCCGCCAGGGTTCTTCTCTGCTGCGTGACTTTGGGCAAGACACGCCCCGGTTCGGTGCCTTACCACCCCAACCCTAGAGCTACTAAACTCATCTTTGCCTGTCCCTTATCCACTGCGCAGGAAAAGGGTTGGGAGATGTTTTTAAGGACAAAGGAACTGACACCAGTAAGGGGCTCCTGAAATACGCTGGGAGGCAGGACTGGGGAGACGGGGGATCTAATCCGTTTCAAAGCTTCATTTTCACTTGTCATCCTGGGGGTCAGCCACAGAGTGCGGCTCGCCCTTGACCCTGGAATAACAGGGACCTGACTCCTGGAACAGTCCGAAGCTGCCAACCCCAGCAAAGCCCGTCGTCCAGTCCAGCTCTGGCTCTGGTTTTACAGGTAAAGCAGCGAAGGCTTAGAGAAGGAAAGCTACCAGAGGTCACACAGTCAATGTCAGACCCAAGCTGCTCTCCGTACCTGGTGCTAAATTACACTTGGGGCAAGAATGGGGCAAGTTGGAAAAGATCCCTGGTCAACAGTAGCTGCACGGGCTAGGGCACGGCAGAGATCAGAAAGAAGCCTGCGGTGATTTGGCCCTCCATACCCCAGGGCCACTGCCTCACTGACTGACTCAGAGATGCAGGGCCAGCCACGCACACCACCCTAGCTTGAAGGTGCCTGAGAGCTCACTGAATCCTACCCCTTTGTTGTTCAGATGAGAAAGTCTGAACCAGAGAGGAAAGTGACTTTGCCAAGGCCTCACTGTAAGCTAGTCGGAGTCAGAGTGGCGCTCGGATCTCTAGATTCCGGAGTTGTGCCTTTCAGCAGCTTTGCAAGCAGGCCATGTTCGGGACCGTAGGACAAAGACTATAAACGCAACTTGTCCTTAACCTTGCAGTTCCCCTTTGGTCCTTCTCCCCTCAGGACTTGGGCCTGTCTACACCAGCCAGGTCTTCTCCCCATCCATGGTAATGTGGCCAAACAAAGAGACCCCAAGGGACTTCAACATTCCAGCCCCAATTCTGCCATTGATCACGGAAACCAAGCATCTGACAGATCATCAGTTCTGTTTAAAGACTAGAAGTGAGGGACGCCTGGGTGGCTCAGTTGGTTGGGCAGCTGCCTTCGGCTCAGGTTGTGATCCCAGCGTCCTGGGATCGAGTCCCACATCGGGCTCCTTGCTCATCAGGGAGCCTGCTTCTCCCTCTGCCTCTGCCTGCCATTCTGTCTGCCTGTGCTTGCTCTCTCCCTCTCTCTGACAAATAATTAAATAAAATCTTTAAAAAAAAAAATAAAGACTAGAAGTGACAAGGACTCACTATCTCACAAGGTGGCCCATTCTAATACTGGATATTTATAACAGATTCCTTTGTTCTGAGCTAAACTGAGTTTCCCTAAATTCCCATCTATTTGATCTGTGGCCACACAACGCAAGTCTAACCTGTCTGTCCCAGATCAGCCCTTGGGTTACGCGAAGTCAGAGCTTGGGTGCCCTGGTCTTCTCCAGCGGCCCCAACCCGGGCCGACTTGCAGTTAATCTGAGCAGCTTTATTTTACTTTACTGTCAAAAGCCAGAGGGATAGGTGAGTGGAAAGCATTTATCTCCTGAGAGTGTACTCTGGGGCCAAACTGCGTGAATTTGGGACAGATGGTATCTTGAGGGTCAGCAGGGCTCAGGAAAGTGAGTCTTCTAAGACCCCATTCTCTAAGCCCTGGTGCGGAGGCTAAGGCTAAGGTTTGTAGTCGGGTATGGACCCCACCCACCCAAAGCATCCCCCCAACAGTAACTAGGCAGACCCAGGTGGAGGCTTCAGTCTTTGCTTTCCCGCATCTTCAGGGAAGAGTTTGCTCTCTCTCTACTTCATGAAATTCAGTCAATAACTCTTCATAAATAATTTATTTTCATTAGGATCCTAAGTGCTGGAGATGAAAGACCTAAACTGGCCCTTAGCGCAGCACAGTTCTCGGACTGGAACATTTTAGGAAGTTCTTTTCTTAGTGTTTTAAATTGAAAAAAAAAGTCCATTGTAAAGGGGCAAAGGATAGGACAAACCCACAAGGGGACTCAGGGAGTTTGGAGCCCGTGTTCCCCACGACAGAGGACAGAATGTGAAAAGTCAGTGCGAGAGGACACTCTTCCCCTGCTGCGTCTGGAAGGCTCACTGGCTGCTCCTTCTGAAGAAATAGCGAAAGGGGAAGAGAGAGCTGTGGGAAGGAGAGCAGAATGGTTTGAGATTCGGGAGGTCCCTCCCTTCTCCCAGTCCCATTAAGGCTCCATTAACGAGGGCATTTTTGCTTTGGGGAATCACTGTATGGATTCAACTCTGGAGCCGCATTTGAAAAGGTACCCAAGTTAGCTTATACTCAGGAGTGGGGCATGATGAAAGAGAATTGCAATGGGGCGGCTGAGCTGTAGAGAGAGAAAGGGATCTGCTGACTATCTTCTGCAGAAAGGACTCTGAAGACACAGCCTAGATGCAGAGGGGGAGAATGGAAGCATTTTGGTAACCAAAGAGTCCGAATGACCCAACGATAAGACTAGTCTCTGTCCAAGCAGCATTTGTGGAATGAGGTCCAACGCCAGGCACATTGTGGGGGGGGGGGGGGGGGGGTTTGTGTAAGAATGAACAAGACACAGTCTTTATTAGATTCAGTTAGGGCCCTTGTGCAGAGTCTCACTTCCCTCAAGTATCCTGGGGGAAATAGAGATTATGCAGGTAATCTGTTTTCTTTTCTAAATTCCCTGAGAGACTCGATGAGGCCGACTCTGGAGCTAGACTGCCCTGGGTCTCAGTGTGATGGTAAGAGCGACACCTGTCCTACCTTAGAAACCCAAAGAAGCCACTGGTTCCCAGCTCTTTGGGTTCTTTAGGTGGAGGTGGATTGTTTTGCTTCAGTGGGGGGATGATCTGCTCAGCGAGGCTGTCCTCCCACTTAGAATCTGCGAGGAAAACAGGGAAAAAGTGTTAGTTTGCGGGCTGCTTTCATGGGACATCGTGTGGACCAAGGGCAGCCTCACACCAAGACTTGTTTGTTCTGACCTTCCCAGTTTCATCTCAGCTCAGGAGATGTTGTTATTCTAACCTTGGAGTATTTTTAGTTGGGCCCCTGAGATTTTTACACTGCTCAAGTCCTAGCCACGCACCACAGATGGTTTTCTCATGGAATGACGACTTGTTGAAGAACTCGCGCGCTGACATCCCAGCATCTGTGATGACCACAGTCCATACCGAATCCTTACGCTAGACAACACCTTAACATGCACTCCCAGCCCCTCCCAAGCATCCACTGCACCTTCAATATTAACGCTAATGCCCTGAAGGGAAGAGGGGGAGAGACAGCTTCCCAAAGATAACTCTTCAAAAAAGTGAAACACATCCCTCCCAACTTTTCTGCAAAACTTATCACTCCATGTAGAAATGTTTTCAAATAGTGGGAGCATCATTTTCACCATCAGAAGCACAGGAAGTACATGCATTGTTTCCCTTTGCTTCTCTTGGGGGTTGGGGAGCTTTTATTATTCAAGGACAGGCCCCCGGACCCAGAGGATGGCCAACAGGCATCTCCACGGGAGCAAGACACATCGCCCAGCAAGTGTGCCCAAACTCAGAACTCCATGCTGCTCTGCTCATGAGAGAACTAAAGAGGACAGGACGATTATTAAGAGAGTAAAATTCCCAGAACCTACCCTGTTCCTGGATATCAGTGGTGTTAAATGTTGGGGTCTCCTGCCATTCCTGCTGGGTTTTTCTTCCTCCATTCTGATAAAAAGAGGACAAAGAGAAGTTTTAAACTTTACTCCTATAGAGCTTGGTGAGCTGAATGCTATTTGTTGATTGGTGGTTAGCCAATGAAGACTTCATAGGGGAAGTGCTATTTGAATGGGGACTGATGGCTGAGTGGGATTTTGTCATAATTAGGGCGAGGAGATGGTCAGGGAGAGCAGGGCATTCTAGACAGGGACATGATGTACAAAGGCACAGTACATTAACAAGTAAATGTGATGAGTGTGACTAGAGCTGGGACAGTGTAAACATGACTATGGCCTAAGCAACAAGCACACTACAACTCAATCTTCTCCCTGGGGTACTCCTTTGTAGAACTTCTTTTGTACTTTGAAGGGTACATCCTATAACCCAGTTCCAAGCCCACAACATTTCCAGTGGACACCCTGATATTCAGAATCAGGGTTCATGTATTTTCTTTTGTATTCTCGGGCAACTGGCCACTCCCCTCCCCTCACCTGGAAAGGACCTGAGGGCCTGACTACGAAGCAGTGCTGAGAAGTTCCTTGAGCCATTGTGCTGGTGAAGAACCCTACAGTAAGAACTATGTAGACTGGCAGGTGGGTCAGGAGGCAGAGGTATGATAAGCTTCTAGGAAAGTTAGGATGTAGCCCCCATCCGAAGCATAAGCTGTATTTCTTTTCTTTTTTTTTTTTTTTTAAGATTTGATTGATTGATTGATTGATTTTTGAGAGAGATAGAGAGTGAGTGAAAGAGAGAGAGCGCAAGCCAGGAGGAGAGGCAGAGGGAGAAGCCGACTTCCCACGGAGCAAGGAGCCCAATGCGGCTGATGCCGGGCTTGATCACCAAACCCTGAGATCATGACCTGAGCTGAAGGCAGACGCTTCACCGACTAAGCCACCCAGGCACCCTAAGCTGTATTTCCAAGAAAAACTTTTCCACAAAACCTCATATTCCAGAACACATAGGCTGCTACTTAAGTAACATTCCTGTAAACCTGAAAGGAAACTCTGGGGAGGAAGAAAACCATCTCTTACCTTTTCTACGTCTCCAGGAGCACTGGTGTATAGGGATACAGCTCTGATTTGTAGCTTGAGGAAATGATTCTTACAGATTTAATGAAACTATGATTGGAGCTTAAATTCTGCTGCATTGACCCTAACGAAAGCATCTACTTAGGCTGGCAGGGAACAGAAGGGCAGAGGCCCTGGGGCAAAGGTAAAGATCTCCCAACCAGGGGAGATTCCCCTCACAAGACAGTCTAGCATTTGTGCTCTCCTGAAAACTTGACAGATGTCTTTTTAGGCAAATGTCATAAGAAAGGAAAAACACAGCCTGAAATAAGATTGAGGGCACCATCTGGGACTTCCAACAAGACGTAACGCACTTACAACCCAACACAAGGTTGTTCTGTATGTTCAGGGCCAGATCTGCTTAGATGTATAGTTGAAGCAGAGGTGGCAAAAAAAAGAGACAAAAAACTACACACATGACAATCTGTTTTACTTCTGAACTCTTCATCTGCTCTCCCCTACTTTTTATCCTTAGGAAGTGTGGATCTCTAGTCTGGGACCTGAAGTAATAAAGGGAATGGGTCTGCTTTTCCTTCCCATTCCCCCCAAAACACCTCTTATGAAACAGACACCTTATTCAGATACATGTTGTGTTCTAAGCTTTCCCTGTACCAGATCCCAGTGGTGTCATGTTCAGACATGACCATCCACACTGACTGTGACCCAACACCCTGAGTTCCCCAAAGGGGAGAGGAAATATTAAGCATTGGACCATAGGAGCAAATTCAATTTTTCCAGCTCAAGTAACTTACACTGAGAGTTACTGTGATCAGTCTAATTCAGGAGAAATCCTCTCTCCGGGAACAGGGTCTACAATGGAGACCGTCATTAGGCTTTGAGTCAAAATCAATAAACATGTTCCTTTTGGGGTTTTTTTTTCCTTGTTTTTCTCTAAACCCAGTATCAGGTTGAAAAGGTAATTATGTTGAGTAAGAAACTGTGGGTACTGTTCTTGAGGGAGATGATGTGTCAAACTAAGAATAGGAAGGTATGAAGGATAGAGAGTGAGGGAAATGTTCTTTTAATAGTAATTATCTGGGTTGTATAAAGCGTCTTTGTTCTTCAGATCTTCATGTACTCCTCCTATACTTTCTCATGTCTTTTTCTTCCTTCTTGAAAGGATGGGAGTATAGAAGAGGGCAATCATCTCCTATAATCACTCAGTGGGCCACTCTGCACAATGGGTCCTGTGCCCTGCTCCTACTCCCAGAGGCAGAGGTCCGAGTCCCTAAGGGTTCTCTCTTCCCCCAACTAAACAGTAAGTTACTGGAAAGAAACCAGGTTTTACATGTTTGCATGCATCCCAGCAACTAACACAATATCTTGCAAACAGGAGGCAGAATAACCATTTAGAAATGAAAATCACTTCACTTTTCTACTTTAAAAATGTTTTAGGGAAATTTTTAGGGAAATCCTGTGCTCTTGGGGCGCCTGGGTGGCTCAGTGGGTTGAGCCTCTGGCTTCAGCTCAGGTCATGGTCTCAGGGTGCTGGAATCGAGCCCCGCATCGGGCTCTCTGCTCAGCGGGGAGCCTGCTTCCCCCTCTCTCTCTACCTGCCTCTCTGCCTACTTGTGATCTCTCTTTCTGTCAAATAAATAAATAAAATCTTAAAAAAAAAAAAAAAAAAAGGAAATCCTGTGCTCTTGAAGGCAGCTTTAAGCCCTTCATGATCCAGCCTGTGCCGACCTCTGCAGCGACATATCTTAGCACTGTACTTTCACTTAAGCCAGGCCCCAGGTACACTGGCTTGCAGTCACCAAATGCGCTATACTCCTTCCTCTTGGCCTTAGTTCTTTGAGCTCCTCCGGGAGCCCTCCCTCACATCCACCTGATTTGGGTGAGGTTCCCCTTTGTGGTTCCTTTGTTCCCTGTACTTCCTTTATTCCCGTACGTAGCACATCTATCAATAATTGTCTGCCTAGCTTTATACCGTTGGCATTTTTATTTTTATTTTTTTAAATTTTTTTTAAGATTTTTTATTTATTTATTTGACAGACAGAGATCACAAGTAGGCAGAGAGGCAGGCAGAGAGAGAGAGAGAGGAGGAAGCAGGCTCCCTGAGGAGCAGAGAGCCCGATGCGGGGCTCGATCCCAGGACCCTGGGATCATGACCTGAGCCGAAGGCAGAGGCTTTAACCCACTGAGCCACCCAGGCGCCCCACCGTTGGCATTTTTAGAGAAGGGCATGATATCTTTAACACGTGGCACGCAGTAGACACCCAGTAAGTCTGTTGAATAAATGCATGGATAGGTGTTGGCTCTGTAACTGGTCATGCTGTGGGACTTGGGAAGGTGAGGGAGGTGAACTGGGAGTATTTAAATATGGAAGGTCAGAGCTACTTTAGAGAGATAAGTGAAAAGTAAGAAAAAGGCACAAATAACAGCTATCTCAAGAGGCGAAGAAAAGAAAAAGAGTGCTCTTTTAGAGACTACTGTGGAACAGAGGCTCTGAAATGGAGTAGCAGCAGATATAGGAATATCTAATTGGGGAATAAGCCTCACAAATGGAATCGAATACTACTGGGGTCGGCCCGTGACTGCCCTGCATGGAGTTTTCTCTTACCAGTATCCCATGCTGATACATGCCTAGCTCATCTATAAAAACTAGATGTTCCCAGGCTCAGACCCCAGTGTAGATGATGGCAAAAAGGTTTCTAAAATGAAAAAATTCTCTATCGGATCCCACCACAATTCAACAAACCTGTTTTCTTATCTCACTGCAGAGTACAAGAAGCAGCCTTTTAAGCTGAGAAGAAAAGACCTTTTAACAAAAGGATTCACCCACGTGCAAAATGCAGCCATTTTGGGGACAGGTCGTGGCAAGGCTGGAATGGTTGGATGTTGCTCTGCAGATGGTGAAACCGGAGAGTGAGTTCAGTCAGCTCCGTCTGTACTTAGGACCAAGATGTGCTGGAAACAGGAAGCTGACTTGTAACAGAGCAGGACCAGCCAGAAGCCTTAAAGCCTCCATTTTGGTGCTTACCCTCCTGGTTTCCATAAGGGGCTTCTTTTTGCTGGGGCCTTGGCTGGAAATCCCCATCTTGGTCCTGAGTGGGGGAAAAGCCCAGGAAATGTTACTGGCAGCAGCAACATCACCACATTTAAGCAAATGTGGCCCAAATGAATATTTCAGCAGGTTGGCTATTTTTATACCACTCCTGGCCTGCAGAATAAATCGTGTGGCCAAATTCTCTTTGGGTGCTGCTTTAATTCACAGCAGAATCCCAATTTGAGACATTTAGCGATCTGGGGTTGAGAAAGGAAAAATGTGATTGCCTGCAGGTAATCAGATTTTTAAATACTTGCCTGCATCAAACCCAGAGAAAGGCAAGACTGAGGCCTCATCCCCATGGAAAATTCAGTCAAACAGAACTGAGCAAAGCTTCATACCTCCAAGTACCTTCACATTCCACCTGGCTGGAAAAGAAATTTCCTAACTCTTCCCTGACATGTGCATCTGGAGGGTAGAGGGCTCAACTCCCTCATGGTCCACCCTTACCGCTCCTGTGTGAGACTGTACGGTCCCGGGAAGGGAGCAGCTGCTCTCCGTGAACACAGGCTGAAAGCACATTGGGCTGGAGGGCAGACCACATCTTGGATTATTCTAGCTGCCATCTCTGGGTGCTAATAAGAATGACTGTGTTACCTTACTGATTCACTCTGTCCCTGACAGAGACTGGGAAAAAGATAAGTAACCCCGACAGCAACTTCGGCAGGTTAGGGATGGGCTCAACATTGCCCCTAATGTTGCAGCATCTCACGCAGTAATTGGTACATAACCTCTTGCAGACATTTCCATTTTAGCCTACTCTATCTCTTAAGGTAGAATTCCAAATGTTTACAGCTTACTAGGTAAAATAGAATTATATATATATATTTTTCTCATCCTTTTGCAGGTTTCTCTATGTTCTTGTATAATATTTGGGGACTTCCGAAGTCTTACGCCTTCTGGTAACATGACCATACTAAATGTTCACTAAGTACAAGTCTGATTCAATGGTATAGATCTGATTGCATTTCTTCCCAGCCATTGTCTGATGAACAGAAGAATCCCATTTTGCTGAAGAAGGAATTGTGTTCCAATTGTATTGCAAACATCAGCTTGCTTCCTTCCCTTAGTCCACCCATGGAAATAGACAACTACCAATGAACCCAAGACAAAAAGTGACTCACTGAAGGTCAAGATTGCGTGGCAGCAATCGCTGGCAAAGCCTAGCCAGGATGCAGGATTTAGACACTCTCCCAACACCACTGACCTGTCCAGCGCTGGCCTGCTGGGGGAGCTGGGCACTTCCACTCGTTTTCGTTTCCTCGTCATGGCTCCTGCTGCTTTCCTCTCTGCTAGGACCTTCAGAGAGGAACCCGACTCCTGTGACTCCTTTTCCAGAGCTGCTCACAGTTCACGAGGGCACAGTGAAGAGAACTCCCCATCTTTAAATTGCCAGAAGTGACTTTTAACACCAGCTTTTCAAGTAAGGATAGGCATTCTGTTAGAGACCGTCTCAGAAATCTAGCCACCAGGAAAAAGATGGTCTCATGTATACAATTCTGACTGCATCTGAGCAGCAACCAAGGGGCAGAGGAATAGGTAAGAGCAGAACCTTTTGGACAACACAAGGCAATAAAGGCAATTGTCATCTTGTATAGAAAAGGCAAACTTACCAAGCCAAGAGGACTGTCATTTATTGGCTCCCCTACAATAGGAAATTTAAATGTCATAATGGATCAAGATGTTGTTTCTTTTTTTTTTTTTTTAAAGATTTTATTTATTTATTTGACACACAGAGAGATCACAAGTAGGCAGAGAGGCAGGCACAGAGAGGGGGAAGCAGACTCCCTGCTGAGCAGAGAGCCTGAGGTGGGGCTGAGATCATGACCTGAGCCAAAGGCAGAGGCTTAACCCACTGAGCCACCCAGGCATCCCAGGATGTGGTTACACTTGGATTTCTGGCTATCATTTATTTCTCAGAACTTGTCCTAGACAAAAACCTCTGTGTCTGCCCTTCTCCTTTCTGCCTGATACCACTTTTGGTAGAAATACAATGTCTTCAAATTCTCTTCCTGCCCCATTTTAGAACTATTGTCATCTACAAGCTCAAAAGTATTACATTCGTACTGTATTCTAATGATATGCCACTTAAAAGGGAATGATCCTTACTAAAAGAAATAAGATGGAACTTCAAACATCAGTGATAAACAAACTGGGGAGATATTCTGAAGCAAGGCCTTTGCACTCTTTTCCCAATAAAACTGGCAGGTATGTTTGTCCCTCTATGAGTAAAAATAGCAATGGCCTTAACAGATTAAAAATTGGGAATGCCTTTAAGACATCCCTAAGGTGAAAGTCACTGCATACTCTAAAGTGAAAGGAGGTATTTTTTATAATAGATCGCTTTTGCTGAGTGATTACTGTCAGACTTTGTACTCCTTTTCACCTACCAGTATGTATATATATTTAATCCTTTTTAACAACCCAATGAGATAGGTGCTATTCTTATTCTTCACCATTTCACAAAGAAGGCACAGAAAGATTAACTAATTCATCTAAGTTCATACAACTGTTAAGTGGCAAATCCACCAGGATCTGGACCACGCGGTCTGGCTTGGAGCACTCGGTTCCCAACCTCTGCCCCGTGCAGTGTTGGGGCCCAGTCTGGCTGACCATTTTGCCATACTGAGTGTGCACGGCTAACCCACGGACATTCAGCCTTCCTATTTCTTTTCTACCTCTCACTCCCATCATTCTACTTACCAGGTGACAGGTTTTCATGAAACCATTTCAACTCTACATACAGAGTGAAAACAAATGGATAGGGGACCAAGACGATTTCCCCATGCTTGAATTTCAGGTGGGACACTCTCTCCCATTTGCTTTTATCTGGAAAATGGTGCTAAGGAGTGAGGAAAGAAGTCAGTCCATATGAATCCTTGTGTACTACTTTAAGGATAAGACCCTCTCCTTTCCCTGGTTTGGCCTGTGGGTTTGCAGCTTCCATCTGGATCTCCAATGTGATCTGCAGCTCATTTCTATCCAGAAATGAAAGGATACAGGGAAATACAATGAAGTGCTCTGTAGCAAATGGCTGCAGATTGTCCAAGTTTCCCAAGACTACACGAATAGAATCCTGGAAAACAAACAAACCAACCAACTTGAAATGACTTTAATACTGTCTTGTCCCGGCCAATCTTTCCGTTTATACCTGGCGCTGCTTTTTCTATACTCTATATTCCATTAAAGCTGAACTATTCCCTGAACACGCCTTCTGCTTCTCCATTTCTGTGTTCCTGCAGAGTCTGTTCCTCTGCCTGAAATGCCCTTTCTACCCATCAGTCTATGTCCAAATCTTACCTATCCTTTAAGGGCCAGTTCAAAAGCTATCTCCTCCAGAAACTCTTCCCTGATTCCCCAAATTGTAAATTAACTATTAGTCTCTAACTTCACAGTAGTTAGCCTTGGATCTTTATTATATTCCATCCACATATGTTTTATTTTCCTTACTGAGAGATCTGGAGCTAGAATATGCACCTGATTTATTTTGGCATCCCTTCTACGGTGTCTACCTCAAGTAAATGCATACTGACTGTGTGAATGAATAGTACTGGTATTTATTGATTTGTAGTTTTTTTTTACTTTAGCTTAAGTTCAGCCTTTTCTTCTACTTTTTAAAAATCTTAACTGATTAGTCTCTAATTAACCTATGCTTATTAGTATTCACCAACTAAACGGTTTGGTATCATAAAAAGACTGGATTTCTATGGGGAGAACACCTGAATTTCAGTCTTAATTTTGTCATTTCTCTAAGCCTCGATTTCCTTGTATTGGGGCTCGCAGAAGGCAGAAATGGTGCTTTATTTAGTTTTTAAAGATTTTATTTATTTATTTGACAGAGATCACAAGTAGGCAGAGAGGCAGGCAGAGAGAGGAGGAAGCAGGCTCCCCACTGAGCAGAGAGCCCGATGCGGGGCTCGATCCCAGGACCCTGAGATCATGACCTGAGCCGAAGGCAGAGGCTTTAACCCACTGAGCCACCCAGGCACCCTGAAATGGTGCTTTATTTATCTTTGTATTCTCTGCACTACCATAGTATGTGGCTTAAAATTTTTAAAGTTTATTTATAATCTCTATGCCCGACATGGGGCTCAAATTTATGATCTCAAGATCAAGAGTCATATGCTCCACCAACTGAACCAGCCAGGAGCCTCTGGCTTATAATCTTAATAGCTAATATTTATTGAATAATCATGATGTCAAGTGTTATTATTACTATACACATTAACAGTCACAGAGACCTTATGAGATAGGCACTCTATTATCCCCATTTTATAGACAGGGAAGCCTAGAGAAAGAGAGGTGAAACAACTTACCCAGTTCCACAGATAGTAATGGTGGAGCCAACACAGGAACCCAGGCAGTGGGGTTCCAGAGTTTACCCTCCTAACCGTGAGGCTCACTACCTATCAGTAAACACTTTCTGGATAAATGAAAGAGGATGGTAACGTCTGACTCAAAACTGAGAGTAAGAACATATAAGAAGCACTTAGAAAGATTTGGTGGGCTCCTAAGTGCAGATAGACACTCTCTAGCTGTGATGATGTACAGAGCTGCTCACTGCGTGGCCAGCACTGCACACATCCGACTCGAGTCGTGACCACAGCCTGGAGACAGGGGCTTTTATGAATTTCACTGACAGGTAGGAAAATAGGCTCAGAATACAGGTAACTTCCCCCAAATCCCAGTGTGAAGGCAGAACTTAACTCAGATCCAGATGTGACTGGCTGTAAGGTCTATGCTCTCTCCACTTTACTATGCTGCCTTAAGTTTTACTCTGCCCGAATCAACTGAAGCAAAGTGAAATAAACACTGCTCTACTCACTATGAAAATAAGCAGAAAACTGTCATGGTCATATATTAAAATAACTGTTAGTTATAATGATGTCTGTGAGCTCCTGCAAGAGCCTAACATATCTTTCAACACTTAGGCAAAGAGGGATGCCTGGGTGGCTCAGTCGTTAAGCTTCTGCCTTCAGCTCAGGTCATGATCCCAGGCTCCTGGGATCGGGTTCTGCTTCAGGCTCCCTGCTCAGCGGGAAACCTGCTTCTCCCTCTCCCACTCCCCCTGCTTGTACTTCCTCTCCTGCTGTGTCTCTGTCAAATAAATAAATAAAATCTTAAAAACAAAACAAAACAAAACACTTTGCCAAAGAGCTATAGATAGATACCATACCTTAAGGCTATGACTTAAATTTCTGGTTTCAGAGTTTTGTTTGTATATTTCATTGTATTCAAATTCTTTGAAATACGGCAACAGATGTGTTCATAAATTAGAACAGTCCTAAATCACTGAGTTGTGAAGTTAGAAGACAAATAACCTAGTTTAGCACTCTCATTTTATGAATGAGACAATTAAGACCACAAGAACGATTTGCTGGGGGGCTGCACAGCTAATTGGTGGCTCAGCCAGGGCTGGAATCCAGGGCCAGCACCCAGGGCTCTAATTCCTTGGACAATGCTTTCACCAGTTTACAAAGCTGCTGACTTGCTCGATCTTCTCCCTGTGGAAGAACCTAAAGCTGGGTAGAAAAGGAATGAAAATGAAGTGGGAACAGAGCAAACTGCAAATATTTCCAATTAAAGCGAAGGCACAGCAGTTTTGTCTGTGTATTTACAGTTAAGTTTCCTGAACGTCAAGTACAAGGCAGTAGTTGGGAGGGTGAGGTTTCCCAGAGCCCTGGAAGGCGGCAACCCTCCAGAAGCTTTCTCTATGCCAGCTGCCACAAAAGATAGCTGCGGAGGGCGGGAACTCTGGTGGAAACAATAGAACTCCACCTCAAAGGTGCTGACACTTCAACTAGGAGAACTGACAAAGGATACAGGCTTTAATTTTCCTGGAAAAACTGAAGTTTCTTTGCAGAGGAAATATGGCAGGGAGAAGCCAAGAGATCAGGTGGAGGCTGTGACTCAGTTCACAGGAAATAATTAAGATCTGGATATGGGCACATCCTTGGCTTAAAGAATAACTTGCCCAGAAGTCGTCTGCTTCTTTCCCTACCTCCAGCTCCTGGACGATGACTTCCTTATTCTCTATTTCTTCCCCTCTAGAAGGTAAACAGATCAGAGGTAAGTAAACCGAGAAGGAAAACTGTGAAGACAGTAGACTCTGTCAGTAAAGTGAAGACAGTAGAGCAAAAACGACACTTCCATTCACGACTAAGTAACCGTTGTGTGTGTTGACCCAGGGCTTGTGGAAAAAGGTGATCACCTAGGTGGTGTGGTCTGAGAACCGGTAGGAGGCGGTACCAAAATATCTTTTCCAGTAACCCGCCCAGACCCGAAATTCCCACTGTGAAAGTTAATTTGTTAGAGGTGTACTCAAGTGTAGCCTGTGGACCACCAGGAGTCTTCAAGACCCTTTCAAGGGATCTCAAAGGGCAAAACTATTTTTATAGTAATAATAAGATGTCATTTGCCCTTTTTTGCTGTGTTAACATTTTATTTTATTTTTTTAAAGATTTTATTTATTTGACAGACAGAGATCACAAGTAGGCAGAGAGGCAGGCAGAGAGAGTGAGAAGCAGGCTCCCCGCTGAGCAGAAAACCCGATGCGGGGCTCGATCCCAAGACCCTGAGATCATGACCTGAGCTGAAGGCAGAGGCTTTACCCCATTGAGCCACCCAGGCACCCCTAACATTTTATTTTTAAAAAATTTTGTTTATTTGGGGGGCGCCTGGGTGGCTCAGTGGGTTAAAGCCTCTGCCTTCAGCTCGGGTCATGATCCCAGGGTCCTGGCATCGAGCCCTACACTGGGCTCTCTGCTCAGCGGGGAGTCTGCTTCCCTCTCTCTCTCTGCCTACTTGTGATCTCTGTCTGTCAAATAAATAAATAAAATCTTTAAAAAAAATTTATTTATTTGGCAGAGAGAGACACAGCAAGACAGGAATACAAGCAGGGGGAGTGGGAGAAGGAGAAGCAGGCTTCCCCCTGAGCAGGGAGCCCGATGTGGGGCTGGATCCCAGAACCCTGGGATCACAACCTGAGCCGAAGGCAGAGGCTTTAACCACTGAGCCACCCAGGCGCGCCCCTTTTTTTCTTAAAGGAGGTAAAAGTTTACTGAATATACCTCAAAGGAATGGCAGACAGTACAGCAGAGGAGCGGCTGTCTGTCTCGGATGCTTTTTATCAATTGGGATGATTACGTGTTTTTTTTACCCTTCATTCTATTAATGCAGTGTACTATACTGGTTGATTTCTTTTTTTTTTTTTTTAAAGGTTTTATTTATTTGAGAGTGAAAAGAGAGAGCATGAGAGAGAGACAGAGAGCACAAAAGCAGGGGGGAGGGGCAGAGGGAGAAACAGACTCCCTGCCAAGCAGGGACCCCAGTGCAGCACTTGATCCCAGAACCCTAGATCATGACCTGAGGTGAAGGAAGATGCTTAACTGACTGAGCCACCCAGGTGCCCCTATATTGGTTGATGTCTGTATGCTGAACCATCCTTGAATTCCTGGTGTAAGTCCCAGGTACATGAGCAATGCCAGTTGCCTCATTAATTTTTTAGAAATATACTTGTTTTTTTTTTTAAGATTTACTATTTATTTTAGACAGAGGGAGAGCACGAGCAGGAGGAGGGGAAGAGAAAGAAGAAAAGAGAGAATCTCCAGCAGACTCCCCGCTGAGTGTGGTGCCCGATGTGGGGTTCGATTTCACAACACTGAGATCATGACCCAAGCGGAAATCAAGAGTCAGATGCTTAACTAACAGAGCCACCCAGGTGTCCCTAGAAATATAGATATTTTTAATAAAATCTATTATCTGTTAATATTTAATGATATATTATTTTTAAATTAATAAGTATGCTATTTTAATTTTTGTTTTAATCTTTATATGATACATATTGTCAGGTATAACCACAATTATCAAAACCTCTTTAGGATCCTTGATAATCTTAAGAGTGCAAAGGGATCCTGAGATAAAAAATCTTGAGAGCCCCTGCTCCAAATGTATGCCATCACTAACTTAGAAACTTACCTGAATAATAATATGTGGAATATAAAATATCTGGGAAAGAGAGTCCTACAAACTTCAGCCAGTCTCCAGGACTGAGTGAAGGCAGAGAAGAGATGACCCGTGGAAATGTACCAACCTGTATTTGCAAAGGCTACTCTCCTAGCTTTAAAATTACCTGATGCTGTTGCCGTATCTAATTTTGAATTTATACACATTGGGTCCTGCGTGAAGAAACCTCGTCTCTGGAAACGGGTAGGTGAAGGGTTTTAAACTCATTGCTTCCAAACGATAGCCTAATAAAACAGAAATATGAGAGAATTGTTAAAAAGCTAAAGACTGTTCCTTATCAACTTTATGGTATGGGAAAGAGAGTCTGCTCAATAAATAGCATCTCTTCATGAGTAAAATATCCAACACTCAACACTCAACACCGCTGTCCCAGGCTCAGTTTTTATACTAACCGTCTACATTAATCACCTGGATCATTCTCCTACCTGCATGGGGAAGATATATCGTGATTGGGGATAATCTCTATCCTTGAAATCAAAACACCTGAGTTCAAGGTTTGTCGTTTGCCTTACACCTCAGGCAAATCACTTCTCTCCGTGAGACTAATAATAGCAACATCTGATGACCTGCCAGGTTTTTGTTAAGATTAAATCTATCTCCCAAATATCTCCTGAATCTATTCTCCTCCCTTGTCCCCACTTTCCCTGGAACCTAGAGCCAGTGTGAAGAGGGCTCAAGTCAAATAATGAAACAATCCAAACGCATCAAGGTGGCATAATGAGGAAGACCTCTGCTGTTAATTTTAGGTGAAGTTAAGAGATGAGCACACCGTCCTGTCACAGCTAATACAGCAAATAAGGATGTACACTAATGTTTTCCAGTGTTGCCGAGGAACGCCTTCTCCTTCCTAGCTCTCAACCATTCTTCCTCTTTACCCGCTTGTGAGACTGCCCCGTGCCACAAGAATGCCTACTATCCTCTTAGCACTTGCTTTACTTTTCCTATTCCAGAATCTTTGCCCACTTGAGGTCCTCTCTGAGGGAAACTGGAGAAAGGGGAAAGATGGAAAAAGGAGAATAGCAGGTCTCTTCTCCTTCAAGAGGGCATTTGGGACACACTCAAAAGTTAAGAATCAAGCACAGTGATTAGTGGTATTCGAAGTCATTAGGACTTTTCTATGCTTCTTTTTACTTGCAGGGATAATAAACCCCGCATTTTCTGTCTCTTCATACGGAAGTTTAAGTAATAAATAATGAGATTAGAGGTCCAGAGTTCCCGAGGATAAAAGTTACCCACACACAACACAAAGTATTGATTTCAGAGGCAGCTAAGATGCCGTAGACCGAATAGGCACAAAGAAAGAATAATTCAGGTTTGAACCTTAGCTCTGATACCCCTCCTTATTTTCTCTAGGCCTTGGTTTTCTTAGTTAGACAATAACTAACAATAGTTTTTGTTATGCTCTATTATAAGTGTCTTACATATATTACCTCACTTAATCCTCACAATAAGCCTGAAATCAATAGTCTAAATTTGATAGATAAGGAAACCGAGGCACTGAGAGATGAATTAACCTCCCCATAGTTATATGAATGTCGGAATCGGGATTCAAAGTGAGGTAATATAGGGCCAGACTTGTTGTGCTTATCCACTTTTCCACTCTGCTTTCTGAGGGTTTTAGTTTTTAAAAAAAGTACATTTTGTAAGTACTAAAATATTATATACACAGAAAGGACTATTTTTATTATTCTTTCCTCCATATTACCCCAATACCATTTCTACTCAGCAAGGAAAACTCTTGTTTGGTGGAGTCAGGAGATCTATGTGCCCAAAGAATGGAATTTCCCACAATTTGCAAAGTTCATGTCTGGGCCTGCCAGTAAAGAGATATTCCAGTGTCTGATCTCGGCTGCTTGGGATTAGAATGACAGGAGGCTGGAGCCAGAGCCCATGAGACTATTTAGACTAGAATTGCAGTCAAAAGTGAAAAGAAGTAGTTGGTGCCAACTGCAAAGTTACCAGAGGGGAAATATTGTTCATATCCTGAAGGAAAAAAAAAAAAAGCTCACTGATTCCCATGTCCAAGGCATGGGAGGAACTGAGCTAGATTTGATTGTGTTTTTGGTGCCAAGGTGACACTTTTTCAAAGTAGGAAAGGAGTCTACCCGGTAAGACTTGGGTTGCTGCCACAAAAATGTAGCTTTCACTTTTTATTCAGAGGGTTCTCCTAAAATGCAGTCACTCTCATCACAGAGGGCTGAGGGATCAGAGTAAAGGAAATGAAGGACATTTGCTGGAAATGACAGTCCAGAGAGGAAACTTCATGCACTGTGCCACAGCTGGGTGTCTGAGAGACGTAAAAACAGCCGTCTCTGGCTGGCTGGGGCCTGCCTGTTAATTGCTGGCTGCCTGCTTCAGAAACAAACACCACACACACTAATTACCTCATTGGAAAATAAAGATTAGGGAGCATAATCCAAAAGAACCACATAAGTGGTAGTGGTTCAAAGATTTCACAAGGTTATTTTCCAACATGAGTACTGCAGCCATGACGACACTATGGGATCTTAACAGATGAAGGGTCAGACTCTCAACCCATTTTTAGGTGATCAAAAAACACGATGGGTTTAAAACAAAAAAGAAAAGATTAGAGGCAATATCCATTAGTTGGAAAGACATAAGATTTGGAATTGGAGGATCAAAGCTTGAGTCCTAGCTCTGCCTTTTATTAGTCATTAGACCCCGAGCAAGTCACTTGGCCTCATCATTTCTGTTTCTACACCTGCAAATGGGAATCCCATCTACCCCTCGAACTGCTGAGGTATTAAATATGATTATATTGTAAATAACACTTCATAAACTCTAGAGTATTATATAAACATTAGCTGTTTTGATATATTTGAAGTTTCTCTCTTACTGCCTCACTAGAAAAGCTAATTTAATAAGAGAGGAAAACTATCTTTCATCTCAGTGCAAAAATCTGACACATCCCAATCAAGAACCTTTCTTTGAAAATCCCCAATAATTAGCTTTAAATGACATATTGGCAAGGATGTTAGATTTTTAAAGGTTTTTAGTCATTTGTTTCCCATAAAGAAACATCTGGGTCAGTGCATAGAATCTAAAGCAGGGTTGAAGGCTTTATGAGGATAATGATATTGACTACTGAGGTGGAAAGAGATGATAAGGAAGTCCTGTCACTCAATATATCTGGGGACATTTGATGGAAAAATCCTCCACAGAGTTAAAGAATAAAAGAGCTTTCATAAGCATTTATTCAAAATACATTTACTGGGCACATCTAATACGACAGGCTCTGTGACTGAGGGTGGGCAACAAGATAGGGAAATCCCACTGATACTGTGAATTTACTACCCAAGTTTTAGAACTTGGATTGAAGACGGATGACCAGCTTCTCCTTTTGCCTTCACAAGTCCTTGGCTGGTCTCAGACATCTGCCTGGCTCTAATGAATTATATTCAGAATAGAGATTCTATACTAGAGAATATTTCCAACTAGAGACTCTTGGTTGCCTATAGCCTCAAGTGCCCTTCATTTTAGAGGGTACGAGAAGAAACTGGTTTTACCAAAGTAGGAAATAACTTCCACAAGGTCACATAACTCAGAATGCAACCAGGATTAGCACTCCCCAAGACTGCTGATTCCTTTGGCCCACACATTTTCCATTACAACACATCACTGTCAGTCACTTTATAAACTGTAATCCCTGGTTATCTCTTAATTGTGGATGACTCGAGACAAACTCAATCTGGGTACAAAGTGATCAAATAAAAATGTAAGCTTTTCTGATTAAATGTTCTTAGAATTATTTCTTGGAGGTGTTAAAGGGTCACATTCACATTTGTTTGTCTTCAAGCTCTATTTTCAAAAGGAACTATTCTCAGTTTCTTCACCTTGCAGAGTGACTAGGACGGCTAATTAAATAATGAAGGTATAATTGCTTATTGTAGCACTCTACACATAGGTTATTCTTTATTTAAAAACAAAGCAGGGCACCTGGGTGGCTCAGTTGGTTAAGCCACTGCCTTCAGTTCAGGTCATGATCCTGGAGTCATGGGATCAAGTACAGAATTGGGCTCCCAGCTCCACGGGGAGTCTGCTTCTCCCTCTGATCTTCTCCCCTCTCATGCTCTCTCTCATTCTCTCTCTCTCAAATAAATAAATAAAACCTTTAAAATTTTTTTTAAAAAATCAGTGTTAAGATATGGGACAAGAATATACTACCTAAAGCAATCTACACATTTAATGCAATTCCTATCAAAGTACCATCCATTTTTTTCAAAGAAATGGAACAAATAATCCTAAAATTTATATTGAACCAGAAAAGACCTCGAATAGCCAAAGGAATATTGAAAAAGAAAGCCAAAGTTGGTGGCATCACAATTCCGGACTTCAAGCTCTATTACAAAGCTGTCATCATCAAGACAGCATGGTACTGGCACAAAAACAGACGCATAGATCAATGGAACAGAATAGAGAGCCCAGAAATAGACCCTCAACTCTATGGTCAACTAATCTTCGACATAGCAGGAAAGAACGTCCAATGGGACAAAGACAGCCTCTTCAATAAATGGTGTTGGGAAAATTGGACAGCCACATGCAGAAAAATGAAATTGGATCATTTCCTTACACCACACACAAAAATAGACTCAAAATGGATGAAGGATCTCAATGTGAGAAAGGAATCCATCAAAATCCTTGAGGAGAACACAGGCAGCAACCTCTTCGACCTCAGCTGCAGCAACATCTTCCTAGGAACACCACCAAAGGCAAGGGAAGCAAGGGCAAAAATGAACTATTGGGATTTTATCAAGATCAAAAGCTTTTGCACAGCAAAGGAAAGAGTTAACAAAACCAAAAGACAACTGACAGAATGGGAGAAGATATTTGCAAATGACATATCAGATAAAGGGCTACTGTCCAAAATCTATAAAGAACTTAACAAACTCAACACCCAAAGAACAAATAATCCAATCAAGAAATGGGCAGAGGACATGAACAGACATTTCTGCAAAGAAGACATCCAGATGGCCAACAGACACATGAAAAAGTGCTCCACATCACTCGGCATCAGGGAAATACAAATCAAAACCACAATGAGATATCACCTCACACCAGTCAGAATGGCTAAAATTAACAAGTCAGGAAATGACAGATGCTGGCGAGGATGCAGAGAAAGGGGAACCCTCCTACACTGTTGGTGGGAATGCGAGCTGGTGCAACCACTCTGGAAAACAGCATGGAGGTTCCTCAAAATGTTGAAAATAGAACTACCCTATGACCCAGCAATTGCACTGCTGGGTATTTACCCTAAAGATACAAACGTAGTGATCCGAAGGGGCACGTGCTCCCGAATGTTTATAGCAGCAATGTCCACAATAGCCAAACTATGGAAAGAACCTAGATGTCCATCAACAGACGAATGGATAAAGAAGATGTGGTATATATACACAATGGAATACTATGCAGCCATCAAAAGAAATGAAATCTTGCCATTTGCAACGACGTGGATGGAACGGTATCATGGTATCAGGGTATCATGCTTAGCGAAATAAGTCAATCGGAGAAAGACAACTATCATATGATCTCCCTGATATGAGGGAGAGGAGATGCAACATGGGGGGTTAAGGGGGTAGGAGAAGAGTAAATGAAACAAGATGGGATTGGGAGGGAGACAAACCATAAGTGACTCTTAATCTCACAAAACAACTGAGGGTTGATGGGGGGAGGGTTGTTGGGAGGGGGGGTGTGGTTATGGACATTGGGGAGGGTATGTGCTATGGTGAGTGCTGTGAAGTGTGTAAACCTGGCGATTCACAGACCTGTACCCCTGGGGATAAAAATATATGTTTATAAAAAATAAAATTAAAAAAAAAAGAAAAAAAGATAACTGTGGGAAAAAAAAAGATATGGGACAAGAAGATACTAATCTAAGACTACCCAGGATACTTTCATGCTTATCAATGTCATTTTTTCTCATTAGGTTTCTTCCCACTCTTTAGACACAATCTTTAAAATGCTCTTGGCATTTGTTCAGGAATAGATTTGCTCTTGGAAGCGTCAGATTTTGTTTTGTTTTGTTCGAGAGGGGAGCAGTAACTAAACCTAACAGAGGTAGGAAGATGCCCCAAAATGAAACTAAAAGGGCTACTGGACAACTCAATAGACCAGAAAGGAGTCTAAGTTAATCTCTTCTGCTACTTTTGGGACCCAAGTGCCACTTCCACTTACATCTTAACCATTCTAAAACCTAGTGGAAAAACTGCCTTTGGTCGATAGGTCCAGATCTGTGCTCCCTATTCTGGAAAAACAATAGAATGATATTGCATCTCTTCAGCCTAACCAGAAGCTGTGACAATCAACCTATTAGCATTCACATTACAGTGCAGATCTCTAAACATCCTACCAACTCCAGGAACCCGAAAAGCATTTGGATGTAAAACTGCTGGCAAAGAAAGACATTTTATTTTTTGGTTACACCATTGGGTGAATTGCCCTGAAGCAGCTCATGTAGGAAAGAAAATTTTAAATGGGGGGAAAAAGTACCAATAGTTTCAGAAGGACAAGTGGTGGGGAGAAAAGAACATCTTCTATAATTTTGAGCTAAAAACTCTTTAGTCTTTGATGTACCTATATCAAGGGTCTTAGTGACAGAAGACTGAAACAGTAAAGTGTAAAAAGAAAGCTTCTAAAATATACAGCTTTGTTCTTGCCATGAAACAATGGCAGATTCTGAAGAAATTAAGTTAATAAGAAAACTAAATTACTTTTTATGTAAAGGGAGCAAATTTCACACAGAAAATTTGAAATATTTTACTAACTTTAATCCAATGCTGGTGAGATACTGGGGAAATAAGAATTGTACTTACAAAAAGATGTATCTGACTTGAGATCATCTTCTAATTCGGCCAAGATCATACAACAAGGGCAAGACTAAAACTCAGATGTATTGCTAAAGCAAGATAGTCTAGCTGATTATGAACTGGCCTAGACACCATATTAGCCTCAATTCTTTATATTTTACCACCTAAGCCTAGCTCTCAAATAACAAAATCAGTTATTATTGCTAAGAAACATAAAGCTTTGTACTTTGAAAAACCATCAAACCATAGGGATCTGATGGTGAACAGATCTTAACAAACAACCTCATATTTATAAAGCACTTTCAGGGGCGCCTGGGTGGCTCAGTGGGTTAAGCCGCTGCCTTCGGCTCAGGTCATGATCTCAGAGTCCTGGGATCGAGCCCCGCATCGGGCTCTCTGCTCAGCAGGGAGCCTGCTTCCTCCTCTCTCTCTGCCTGCCTCTCTGCCTACTTGTGATCTCTCTGTCAAATAAATAAATAAAATCTTTAAAAAAAAAAAAAAGTATAAAGCACTTTCAATGTATATAATGCTTTCCTGTCCCTATCCCACAAGATAAAAAAAAACCTCTATTAAAGTAGGAAGGCAGATGCAGCTATCTTATACTCTAACTGCTTTCTTCATTTTTACTTGATTTCTCTCACTCTCATGTTCATTCAACATTCATTCATTCAGCTCACAAATAGTCACATACCTACTATGTCCCAGAAACGAAGTGCCAGAGACATAGTGGAGAATAATAAGAACTTGGTCCTCACCTACAAAGAGCTTACAAATAATTTTAAGTGTGATGACTGTCACAAAAAGGAATAGGGTGATGTGGCAACGTGATAGAGACTCTTACCCTAGAATGGAAATCATGGAAGCCAATTGTAAGTAACAGAATCACATCTGAGGGATGAGTATGAGAAAGGGAGGCACCAACAGAGAGTGGGTCTGGGGTGGGTACAGGAAACAGCAGATGTAAGAGTCCTCAACTGGGAGAGAGCATGGCACTTTCAAAAGACAGAAGTGCAGTGACCCAGAAGATAGTGGGGAAAAAGCACAGTGCTATGAGAGTAATACTACAGAGATAAGCAATGAGTTAGCACTAGGCACTGTTTAGAGCATGTTTAGAGTAGGTAACAAGAAAGACATGATAACTTGTCTTTAAGGGCTTACATTTCAGGTGTGGAGAGCAACAATGAACATATAAATGTAACCTGAAGTACTCTAAGTACTCTAAAGAAGAGAAAATAGGGCTTTAGAGTAAAGACTGACTGGGAGGCTGGTTTAACTACTGAGGCCAGGGAAGGCCTTTCGGACAAGATCACAGCGGAGTTGAGGCTTTCATGGAAAGTGGAACGACCATGCAAAGTCAAGAGGAAAAGCATGTCAAGGCGGAAAAAAACCCCAGCAAGCACAGATGCCCTGTGATGGGTGGTTTAATGGACGGAAAGGTCAGTGTGACTGGAGCACAGAGAATGAAGACAGGCTAGAGGGAGATGAAGTGAGAGATAGGCAGGAACCAGATCATGTAAGGTCTGTAGGCCACTGTAAAGAGTTCAAATTTTATGGTAAGGGTTTTAGAAAGAAAAGTGAAATGATTTATGCTTTAGAAAGATGAACTGTGGGGCGCCTGGGTGGCTCAGTGGGTTGGGGCCTCTGCCTTCGGCTTGGGTTATGGTCTCGGGGTCCTGGGATTGAGCCCCACATCGGGCTCTCTGCTCAGCGGGGGGCCTGCTTACCCCCCATCTCTGCCTGCCTCTCTGCCTACTTGTGATCTCTCTCTCTCAAATAAATAAATAAATAAATAAAATATTTAAAAGAAAGAAAGAAAGATGAACTGGGTTCCTGGGTAGCCCAGTTGGCTAAGTGTCCAATTCTTGATTTTGGCTCAGGTCATAATCTCAGGGTCATGAAACAGACCCCTGCGTTGGGCTCCAAGCTGGGTGGGGAGTCTGCTGGAGATTCTCTCTCCCTCCCCTCTGCCCTCCAACCCACGCTCATGCACTCTCTCTAAAATAAATAAATAAACCTTAAGAAGAAAAGAAAGATGAACTATACCAGGGTAAGAGTGGAAGCAGGAAACCAGTCAGGAAGCTTTTGTAGTAATCCAGGGGAAAGATGCTGCTGATTTTGACTGAGAAATTTCAGTAGTTAGTGAATAGTTGAAGTTGGGGTATATTTTAGACTGATGGCCTAGGTGTGGGAATCAAGGATGGCTCTTATGTTTTTAGCCTTTGGTATTTTATTAGGTAGATAATGGTACATACCCTTTACTGAGCTGGGCAAGGATTCTAGGGAGAGAGATTTGTGGAGAAAACTCCCATCATTCTGCTTTGGTTAAGTCTGAGAGGCCTTTCAGACATCTTGGTGGATATGCCAAGGGAGTGGTCGCCTAGTGTGCAAAGGATGGAAATCAGGATGGAAATAAAATTTAAGTCATCAGAGTTTAGATGGTATTTAAAGCTACTGAACAGATGAGATCATCTAAGAAGCTATAGCTAGGGAAGGGATGAAGGCCTTACTTACAGTCCAGGTTATGACTCACGGAGTCTATCCTAAGACTAATAGGAAGGCACTGAAGGGTATAATAAAGAAGTTACCACACAGCTGTGAGTTAAAGATGTGTGCATCTGGTTGTAATATGGGAAATAACCCAGAACAAGAGCAGATTAAAACAACAACAACAAAAACCAGGACCAGCCTGTGGGTCAAGGCAGAGGCTAGTAAGGAGCCTGGTCTACAGTCACTGGTTCGCAAGATGCCTAGGAAGTCGTCTAGCTATGACTGCGTGAATTGACAGGGGAGGCAGAGAGAACAAAGATGATTCCTAGTTGTTTGAGCGACTTACTGAAGAGGGAAAAAGGGCCACTTCCTGGAAAAGGCAGCCTTAAAAGTAAATTTTTGAAGGGGAGGATGTGAAGTCCTTATTGGGACATGCCCAATTTCGAGGTGCCAGAGAGAGGTTTTAGGTAGACTGCTGGGGTCCTGTGGCGGGTGTGCTACCTGCGGATGTGCAAACGAAGGAATCAAGTTCAGAAAAGCCGAGGAGGTACAGGAAGCTACTCGCGCTGGAATCCTTCCACTTCTCCGATGCCAAGATTCAATGAACACAGACGTCTCACCGAGGGCCGTGACTCCAGTCTCTACCCCCGAGGTGCAGTCAGGCCTTAGAAAGCAGAAACTCGCTGAGATCCCGAAGACATGACGGGACAAGAAATGTCTCCATGGGACAAGTCTTGCTTTCATGGCAACCGCGAAGCCTGGGTCCGAGGGAGGCTGCAGACCGGAGCGCACGCTTTCCTTCCCGGGGCGAGGGCGGGAGGGGGTCCCAAGGCGGGGGGGTGTCCCAAGTGGGGAGGTGTTCCAAGAGGGAGTGGGGAGGGGGTGTTCCAGGAGGGGGTGCGGCCAGAGGCAGCTCCGCGCCCCGCGCCGCTCAGCCCGGGAGGCGGGTCTGCACCTGCGCGCCCCGGCCCTCCCTCGCACCCTCGCGGCCCGCAAGCGGCCACGGCCTGGCCCTCGGGGTTGGGGGTGCAGCTGTGGAGCGCAGGCGCCGGGGCTGTAACTCTCCCTCGGAAAATTAAGGCAACGAAGCGCCGACCTCAGGGGAGAACCAGGCCGCTGTGGGCCGTTACCTCAGACCCAAGAACTTCCCGGGCCCGGCCGGGCTCTTACACAGGCTAAGGGTTCTTCGCGCCTCGTAAAAGTGGTCTCGGCTGAGGCTGCCACGAGAGAGCGCCCCCGAAAGGGGCCGGCGTCGACTGCGCTCGAAGCGCGTCTCGTGTGCTCACTCAGTCCCCGCCCGAGCTTTGGCTTTTGCCGCGCGCCCGCCAGGCGTTCTGCGCGCGCGCAGCTGCCCTCTCTGCGCCCTTTCTCGGCCGACCGGGCGTTCTGCGCATGCGCAAATGCTCTTCCTGGCCTCGCCCAGTTGGCGCGCTCTCCGAGGCTGGCCACGATGTGCGCGTGCGTGGTGCGGCGACACCGCCCAAAGGTTGGGCGGAGCCGAGGCTGGGAGTGACCCGTGGCTCCACCCGCCGGAACGCGGGCTGTTGGCTCCTTTTTGTCACTCTGCCGCCTGTCCATTGTTGTTCATTAATCGTGCACACAGTCCCTGCCGTGGTCCGGTCGGGAGCTGTCTACCGCGGAGTTCCTACTACGTGTGGAACATCGTGCAGGCACTTTCTGTACTCTCTCTCCTTTGATCCTGTCCGTGGTGTTGTAAAGCAGTTATTAATATCCTAATTTTAAAGAGGCCTGGGAATGGGAGCGACTTGTGGAGGTGCAAGGACGCGAACAGGGATCTCTGATTTCAAAGTCCAGCACCTTCCCTTCCACTTCCTGCTGATCAAATTCTGACCATGTTGTGAATTATTAAGCAATTTGGCCCCACATCACTGGAGGGGTAGGAGGGCTGGGTTTGCTGCGTTCCTGATCATGGATGGACCATGATCGCGGTCCCAGCTCATACCTATAGTCCTCCTGCATTTTTCTGCCTTCCTCTTCACCGCTCTTGCTGTTCCTCTGCTTAGAATGTCTCCCCCACCCCCACCTAAAAGCTCTACTCCACAAGCCCAGATAGTAAGCTCTTTGAAGGCTGACTCTTGTATATCTTTTGTACACAGGAAACTAAGCACCTCTTATTGGGTAGTACACATAAGTTCCTGGGAAAAGCGAGGCAGGAAAAGAAAGAAAAAGAGTGGATGGAGGGCGGATGAAAGAGGAAAATTGGTCTCAGGAGGGCACCTGCTCCATCTTAAGAAGGTATCTGCTATGCAGTGTCCCAGTAAGGGGTGCTTGTGGGAAGTGTGACCTGGTAATGCCAGATCTGATTTTCACAGGAAATTTCTCAATTAAAAAAAGTTGGCAACTGATTGAAAAACTTGAGTATACTGTCGACTGAAACTAACACATTTGTGACTCTGACCTTCCTTGGCACAGAGTAAGAGTTGACCAAGCTAGTCAGACTTGAGTCCCAGGCCAGCACAGGCTTCTGGCATCTGTTGTACACATATCCCTTGCACAATCCATGCTTGGGGACCAAGAGAAAGACCCTTTTTTGAGCAGGGGCAGGGCATGGGGTCCATGCAGAGTAAAGGAATCAGGATTCTGGTGAGGCTGGAGAAAACTGTTCTGTGCCTGTTCTGTTTACTTGTAATCTACCTACCTCGATATTATTTGTAGCTAAGATTATAGTAGGCAAGGTTATGAGTCTTAAATGGCCACTTGTGTGATGTACATAATTTCCTATGGAGGATGGCAGCTGGTCGGGTGTGATGGACAGGGGAAATAACCAATGGACACAAATACACTTTAGTTTCAACCAGACTGGAGGGAAATAGGCAGAAACCCAGGGATTCTAACCAAAAGTCTTATTACAACCCCAAATGACCAAACATCCAACTTCCTGTCATCAACAATTACAGTGTATCAAGTGAAATAAAAGGAACACACAAACACTTTGAACGAGTAAGACTGAATGGTCTGCCAGGGGACAGACACAAGCACACACTGCTGTTGAGGCATGACAGCAGCACTTGGAGAACCCGAGGTGGCCTCCCAGCCCAGGTGGTCCACGTTATTTCTTTGCAGTTTGAGGAGGGCACCAATCCCATGGTTGGGTACCATCTTTTGTGATGAGACCAGGCTCCTTTCACTGGGGCTCTGGCTAAGGGTCCATAATGGGATGGAGCTAAAGGGAGGAATTCTTACCTGAGATAATAGGAGACCCTTGGGCCAGAAAAGGGGCAGAGCCAACACCTAAGCAGTAATGTTAAGTGCCAAAATTCCAGGAGGAACTTAGAGCAAGTCGTGTTATCAGAAAAGGCGAGAGGCGGGCTGTGATAAGCATTTCAATTAAGAGGGTGGATTCAGGAATTCTGTGCCCATTAGATAAAGGGATAACAAATATTTACTCAATCAACAAATACTTATTTGAATAACTATAAGCACTTTTCTAGCCCTTTGGCAATACAGTAGTGAAGAAGACAAAATTAACTGTCATTATGGAGATGACCCTGAGATCAAACTATATGGGAGGATTGTAGCTTGCTATCATGAGCCAGCCAGGAGGGCTGTATGACCCACTGACCTTGCCTAAAGAGCTAGAGGGGACACAGACACTGGGACACTGGTCGCTGCGGACAAGACAATGGGAAGGGAGCCACTTGTGGGCCTGAGGAATGCCTTGTCCCTTGGGATTCTTCTTTACTTGAAACTGGTATTACATTATTTATTATTTATTATTTTTTAATTTTTAAAAAAGATTTTATTTATTCATTTGAGACAGAGAGAGACAGGAAGTTTGAGCAGGGGGGAGAGGCAGAGGGAGAGGAAGAAGCAGACTCCCTGGCAGATAGATGGCAAGGCCCGGAGATTATGACCGGAGCCAAAAGCAGATACAACCATTTGAGCCACCCAGGCCCCCCAAAACTAGTATTACATTTTTTTAAATTACATGTAGTACAATTTACTATTGTTGGTGTATATGCCTATGATCTTTTTTAAGGTTTTATTTATTTATTTGACAGAGAGAGACACACAGCTAGAGAGGGAACACAAGCAGTGGAGCGGGAGAGGGAGAATCAGGCTTCCTATTGAGCAGGAAGCCCGATGTGGAACTCGATCCCAGGACCCTGGGATCCTGACCTGAGCTGAAGGCAGTCGCTTAACCCAGGGCCCCAAGTCTATGATTTTTTTTAACATACGCATAGATTCAAGGATAGATCAGAATAGAGAACGGTTTTGTCACTCCAAAATCTACCGCAGGTTACCCCTTTGCAGTCAACCCCCCGCTTCTACCCCAACCCGTGACAAGCTGTTCTCCGCTCCTGGTTTTGCCTTTTCCTGGCTTTGTCATGTACATGGATTCTCCAATAGGTAGCCTTTTGGTATTGGGCTCTTCCTCACTCTTTCTCTGAGTGATACATTCAGATTTATGAATGTTGTATATCTCGGTAGCTCATTCCTTATTGCCAAGATATATCCAATTGTATGGATATTCCACCACTTTTTTATTATTTGCCTATTGATGGACATTTGGGTTGTTTTCCATTTTTGGCAATTTCTTTTTTTTTTTTTAAAGGTTTTATTTATTTATTTGACAGAGAGATCACAAGCAGGCAGAGAGGCAGGCAGAGAGAGAGGAGGAAGCAGGCTCCCCGCCGAGCAGAGAGCCCGATGCGGGGCTCGATCCCAGGACTCTGAGATCATGACCCGAGCCGAAGGCAGCGGCTCAACCCACTGAGCCACCCAGGCGCCCCGATTTTTGGCAATTTCGAATAGAGCTTCTATAAGGATCGACATCCCAGTTGTCGTATGAACTTAAAAGGCTTCATATTTCTCAAATAGATACCAAGAATGGGGGTTGCTGGGTTGTACGGCAAGTGTATGTTTGACTTTGTAAGAAACTACCAAACTGGGACGCCTGGGTGGCTCAGTTGGTTGGACGACTGCCTTCGGCTCGGCTCATGATCCCGGAGTCCCGGGATGGAGTCCCGCACTGGGCTCCCAGCTCCACGGGGAGTCTGCTTCTCTCTCTGACCTTCTCCTCGCTCATGCTCTCTCTCACTGTCTCTCTCTCAAATAAAATAAAATCTTTAAAAAAAAAAAAAAAGAAAAGAAAAAAAGAAACTACCAAACTGTTTTCCAGAGTGGCTGTACTGGTTTGCATTCTCATCTGCAGAGTATGAGAGTTTTGGTTGCCATGTGTCCCTGTCCATTTTCTGTTTTAATTTTTTTTTTTTGGCCATTCTTATAGATGTTAATGGTATCTAGTTGTAGATCTAATTTGCATTTCCCTCATGACTAATGATGTTGAGCATCTTTTGATATATTCTTGGGATTCTTGAGAATTAATAAACTCGTACCGCAACTCATAAACCGACCCACAGTGCTAGAGAGACTTCTATGGATTCACACATGGCCTTGCAGACTGGAACATTTTAGCAGCAATGCTCGGCACATGATAATTGGAGTCAGAACACATAGGCTGGATCTGTCCAGCCAGCAAGCAGGTGGCAAGAGGCTCCTGGTGGCTGAG